ATGCCACGTAGAATTAAGGCAGTTCTGAAGGCGAAAGGGGGTCAAACACCGTATTAGTATGGTGTTCCTAATAATCCTTTAGGTGAGTGTATATTTAGCTGATACCTCTGTCCAAAGCAACATGCACTTAGCAGAGCGGAGTTAGCTGGTCCCTGGAGCAGCTGGGTTAAGTACACTGAAAGAATTACTCTGCTGGGATTTGAACCAGCAACCACCTGAGCACTGGCACAGAGTCATAACCGCCAGAGCCACACACTGCCCTTACACACTTTCTAAGAACTCTACCAAAAGTGCATCATTTTTATTCTCTCTCTCTCTCTCTCTCACACACACACACACAGGCACACACACACACACACACACACTTTCACCTCCTGAAGAATGCCAGGCCCTGTCACACGGTTGACCACCTATCTGATCACTGCAGTATTACAGCTGGCTGTGAAGTTTCTATGGTGTGGATAGTGACACGCGGGCAATCTGTGATTCATAGGGGCAGCGGCGAGGACATGCAGGCTGTCAACCCGGCCCAGCCCTGTGTGCGGGTCTAAGGTCAGGGATACGGGGTATGGCTTACACTGTGTTACACTAGGCAGAGCAACATAGCCCAAAGTATGTTTCTAAACCTTATAGTAATGTGTTTTGCATGAAAAATAACATTTGCAGTACTTCCTTTCATTAGTGCCATGGGTTCATTCTCAGGATAAAGAATTACTCCACCAAAAATAATGCTCAATGCTAACATAGACATTGATAATGAATTTTACGAGCAGCTTCATATTTTGATCCATTTGAAGGCACTTAGCTCAGTGAGCGATGGATTTGTAGCTGTGCAGGTCTTGGCAGGAAGAAGCCTACTGAGTTCCCCAGCACCCCCAGGGATAACCATGGTCCCCGTAGTGCAGTGCGACCTCTTTTACTGACCCCCCCCCCCCACCCACTTCACGAATGCCATGTGATCCACTGACTGACTGGGATCTGGACGTTTGAAACCGCAGTTCGGTTCATGTAGCCAACCAAATTTAAAAAAAATGTCAATTATATGCTGACTAAAATTCGTAGAGAAACATGTGTGAGGCAGCAAGAGAGGTTTTATCGGCAGCATGAATCTCTGTACGGTGGTAATGATGGTTTCCTTTAAGGTGCATAAGGAAGTAAGGAATTACTCACATCGGACTGGTTATTCATACCATCTGAGTAAGTAGCATTATACACATAAAAAACCAAGCAATATCAATGTTCTAATTAGTCATCTACTTATGTAATTTTATATTTCATTTGACGGTCAAATAACTTTGTACTAAAGAAGGAACACAAACAGGTTTCACCGGAGTTTCCCTTCGTTCTGCTACTGCACCTCTTTGGGTGGAGCCGCGCTCGGGATCAGGAATGTGAGAGAGGGCGCGCGAGCTGGAGCGCAGACGCGGGGCTCCGAGGCATCGGGACGGAGGGGAAGCGGCCCGGGAAGCTGGCGATCGCGCATCTCACGGTAAGGCTGCCGGGGACCGGCGAAACATGCCCTTATGTACGTTTAAATAAAAATTTAATAAAACAGAAACATCCAGTAACCGGATTAAAAGGGGTATTTTTATTTCCCATCCCCGCAAACAAATAGTCAGTATGTTAGCGAAATACATATTCCTGACGGGTATACGAAAATCCGACCCAGTTTTACGAGAAAAGAAAGGCAGCGTGGAAACGGGCAGCCCTTCGATCGGCGGCCGGCCGCCGGGACTAAGCTCTTTTACACGAGGCAGCAGGAAACTTTACTGTACTGTTTTGAAATTATTGGATACTTACTTTTTTCTACTACCTTAATTTAACTATATAGAAATTATTCCCAGAGATTGTAAATGTTAATTTTATTAATATACTTTCCTTTGGATCGTAAATCATTAGTGTGAGTTCATGCATATATTATAGAGTGACGTGGAAAAGTACCACAGACATTTTCAGTAGATCGTATATTAAATTTGTATCAC